AGTTGTGGAATATGTGGACTTAAAAAAAAAATAAAATTGTTGTAACCTCATCAAGAAGGGTGTGCAGATGTGTCTCTAACTATGTGGTCCAGATCTAGTGTTCTAACACAATTCAGCAATATCTTTCCTGTCTTCAGTTGACCAACCTAATGACATGATCCCCAGACAGATTATGATATACAAATAACTTAGAAACAATGAAAAAAGGCAGACATGAGAAACACCCAGAAAAGAATTAGGAAAAAATTGCTGATTATGCTGGAATCCTTGCTTACTTGTAATCCTTCTCTCGATGTTTCTCTTTGGATTTCTTTTTCTTCTTGACCTTCTTATACTTTTTCATTCTTTGGTCATCTGTTTTTCGGCATTTCTTTTCTATTTCGCTTCCGCTTTCTTCTGTGTGTGAATATTTTCTTTTGACATTTCTTAGTGTTTCATTTTCCCGGGAAGAGACGTCAAAATTTGAATGAGCTGACATGGGTGGAACTGCATGCCTTTCACGATAATATTTTTCGGATTGCTTTTGAGGTGTTGAACAATGATGTATGTTTGCTCTGTGGCTGCTAAACTGATGTATGTCGTCTTCTCTAAAAAGTGTGTTGTGAGGCCACCTGTTTTTGCAGTGATAATCCTTATGTGACCTATTGTAAGCTAGACTTGATTTGTCAGAGTCTTTATCACAGTGAGAGGACTTTCTCTCTCTACCATCTCTTGTTCCATGAAAAGAATAATAATCATTGTAGTATCTGCATTTTTCCCATCTCCGTGGTTCATCTTGATAGTATCTTTCTCTGCTCCAAGTTCTCTCTCCTTTGGAATGATAATACCTATTCCTGTCTTGTTCTGTTCTTTCTCTGCTTCGGGATCTGTAACGGGAATATTTTCCTGAGCTTTTGCCATTATTTGGACTGTTTCTTTCATTATGGGAAGATCTGTACTTGCTTTCATGGCAATACACCTGCTTATGACGATTTTGCTTATTTGTTTCCAGACTGCGAGAGCACCTCCTCCTCTTGTGAGGAGGATCATCGGGTTTGCTTCTGGTTTGCTTCTCCTTCTCTTCAGTGTCTGAGTTTTCTCTCTTCTTTCGGTAGTGCTCTTTGTCAGTTTTTTTAGAGTCGTACATTTTTTTCTTATCTTTTTTCCTATGTTTATCTGCTTCACATTCTTTATTACTCAGTCCCTCATTTTCTCTAGAAAATTGACTCTCCAAAACTTTATCCAGCTTTGTAATAGAAGAGTCATTAACAGGTGGTACCTCTACATAGTTATTAGAAATGTCCTTTGTATCTTGGCATTTATCTGTAATATCTAAAGATGCGAGTTTATTAAAACTACATTCAATGTCAGACTTTAGAGAGGAAGTTTGCCCTGATTTCTCTTCGCTCTCAGGAGACTCTTTGATGTACAAAGGATTTTCTTGTGAAATGACTTCAGGTTCTTTTGATCTTCTCGGTCTGTCTTTGTCTCTGCTGTCTTGAGATTCACACTGCCCAGGAAATTCATCTTCAGTGTCCAAAGATTTTTTCCTGACCTTGTGCTGACCATTGATATTGAGATGTGCATTGTCAGCTTCTGTTATAATACTTCCAGCAGCTTCTTCTTTGGTAGAAATGGTTTTGGAAACTGACGGAATAAAAAGATTCTCAACCTCACAGTTAAATTTGGAAGGAGCCTTCCTGGATTCTTCATAGGCAGATAGTGCTTCCATCACTACAGTTTTCATAAAAGCGTCATTCTCTGAAGATTTCTGAGGTCCAGGGTCACTGCACAAATTAAAAAACGGGTTTTTCACTTGAAAAAGTCCATCTAAAACATGAATGTTAAGAGTAAAATCCCCTTCAATAAAAAAAATTGGTGGCTACTGAAAAACTCGGAAAGACATTCCCTTTAAAAAACTATGCTCAGCTCCCAGAGAAGGTGTTTTTCTTCTCTTGATTCCGCAAGGATTACATTAAAAAACCCACACCCAACACATCTGTCTCCCTCCACTTGCTGCTCTGAATCACATCAACAGCCCAAACCGCTGTATTTGCACTCTCTCTCTC